AAAACTTGCGGTCCGGACATTGTTTAGATTTGCCAGATAAATTTAGACACACGGTAAGCTTCTTTTATTATTGGATTACTTTTTCAGCGGTGGAACGCGAGAATACAGTAACTTCAACGAATGTTATGTAACCTCAGTTACGTCAAGTCGCTGATGATCAGCGCGTGGTGATTCTTCGATGATATTGGGAGTGCGGGCTTACTGCAGCCGAGACAGCGAGAAGATACAATAGCATAACCTCGGAAATGCGGCGTGTCAACAGACGGTATGTGTTAAGACTGCTGAAGAAGTTCGAGAACACTGGTAGTGTGTGCAACGGCTGAATTACGGGGCGACCCCGCACCACAACAGACGAGAGTTCAGCTAGTGCTGTTATCCGCGAAGTGACCGAAAGGGTGGACCTCAGCATACGTACAATCGCTCAAAATTGTGACACGGCCCCTCATGCAGTGCAGCGGATCTTGAAGGAAAGAAACTTTCGTCGGTATGGTGCACCTCAAGTACAAATGTTGAACCCATGCGATTCGGAGAAGCGGCTTGCATTTTGCAGCTGGTTCTTGAATCACGTGGATATTCACTCCATTATTTTCACCGATGACGCAATATTCCATTTGCACGGAATACATAAGCATCACTTTTGTGCGACATCAAATCCACGCGTTGCGTAGCTTCCCGTATGCAACATAGTCTCAAGATAATGGTTTGGGCTGGACTAACCGGTCAAAAAATTGCTAGACCATTTTTCTTTTCCAATAATGTGACCGGTAAGTTACTTTGTTAATGTACTAATGTCATACATTTCCTAGCATCGTCCTACAAGGAAATGGTACAGGCCGGCGTAATTCCGCAGCTGCAGGCTGATAGTGTTTCCAGCAACATTTGGTGGCAACATGATGGCGCACCTGCCAATTATGCACAAACGGTGCTTGATTATCTAAACGAGATGTTCGGTCACCGGTGGATTGGTCGCTCTGCCGCTATGCAATGGCCTCCTCGATCACCAGGTCTGAACTTAGGAAAGTAGGTGATTGGAGGTACCACTCACACTGTAGCTTAAAACTGTTTCAGATGTTTGGCGATACGTAGCTCTGAAGCAAAAAGAGTAGATGGCTCGGTAGCAACTGCGTACGAGCTAATTGATTTATCCGTCACTTCATCTCGGTTCCTCACTGTAAATCACCTTAAAATGCCCAGTGTAAAGTGGATTACTGCTAAGTATTGACGAAAGACGAACGAAAGAGTTACCGCCCGAGGCTAGTGCTTAAGCAGGACCTGCATACACACGCTCCAGTTACTATGGGTACACTCATACGTGAAACTATACAGCGGCTCAGCAAAGAGATGACGCTGATATCTTCGGACTGTAGCAGGTCCAAGCGTAACTTTTAGTGATCTCTAAAGTAAGGAGGTCGTTATGTCTCGGTGACGGTCATTAATGTTTCATCTCTTCCTTACCTTCCCCTTTCGTGTACAGACCCCACACGTGCTTGTTTCCATCATTCACAACTCCGGCTCGCTTCTGTCGGCAGTTGTGATAACAGCATCCAGCTCGTCATGAGGTGTTAGCAAGTCGCACGTTTCCTTTAGTTTGCTCTCTTACTAGATGGTTGTGATATGAGCATCCAGCCACCTACAAGATATTGGTTTTGCTTTGCAGCTTCCCAGATATATTACGACCTACGTACGCAATGGACACGGAAGCCCTCGGAATCCTCGACCGGACGCATATTACATAGACTATAAGCAACAGATATAGTCAAGTGCCAGTGTGGGTTTCTTGCATTTGGCTGCGAAATATCCTCTAGCAACTGTAACTCCGCACTGTCATATCAACAAGGAGGGAATTCCAAAGCAACCAATAGATGTTACCTTTTCTTACTCAAATGCGCCCGTATTGTTTTCAAATTTCTTCCTAAGGAATTCGCCTCCCTCCATAGATTTATTAAGATGCTCCTTAACACTATCAAACTGCATCCAACGGACACAAACGCGCCCACAATGTTCGAGCTGTTCGTTGAGTGACTAATCCGAAATCAGCCAATGGTATAACAGAGGAGACACAGAGTGGAATGTTATTGGTTGATTTGAGAGTGGTTACTCAACGAACAGTAGCGTGTAAGGGAGAAACACGATTTCCTTAATGAAGAATTTGGATGGTACAGATTGTATGTAGTGAAACACTGTATGTAGTGAAACACACGTGAATGCGGCAGTTCTACACAACGCGGGTCGCCAACCGAGCCTGATATAGATGCAGTCTAAAAAAGACGCCACCCGCAGCAAGCGCGCCATCAACACGTGCATTCCGTGCTGGGTACAGCTAACCCGAGCAAGGAATCGACTACAGCAATCATCGGGCGAATCGGGAAGATGCAGGTAGGTACACATCCTTGATGGGAGCAAAGCGTGTAGGGTTGTCATTTAGCTGCTTAAAAACTTCTCATTTACTGAGCAGATCCTTGCGAGATGTCAGTTTAACTGGGTTTGAGATCCACTGCCATGATACGTCACGTTTTTCCGCTGCTCACACTTCGATTTATCGGGTCATCGGTTTTCAGTTGACCTCACTTCGACACCGTTTGTGTGTCCGTTCAGTGATTAAGCTTCGCAGTGTACACCAACCGCTCACCCATTTACGGATGTGTGTCACACTCGCAACCGTGACAGATTTATTGAAATGCATTCAAAGGACCAACCAGTGGCTTAGTGCAGTACACTATAAGTGAAAAGGTGCACTGCGCCGTTTGAGGCCAGACTGATTGCACTCGAGCTGAAACATCAGCAAGACGACAAATGAATTGGTGTGCTTACGACCCGATTGAACTTAGTCCTTGAACTCTCTGACGGGTCACCGACGAAACCGGCATAGAGGATAGGTGGAGTAACGGCTAAAGTTAGCTCCGGGCGATTGCACACGATTTCCGTTTTATTTCTTTCCTACCACATTGCGGGATCTGTAATACTATAACCCCGTCTATCTGGTTAGTGACAACTGGCCCACGCCACCATCGCAACAGATCCAAGCCCATGTACGATAAGTTTGAATTCCTGTAATCGCAACAGAGTTCTTCACTTCTTAAAACCTGCAGATAGCACAGGAGGTTTGCTTTCAGATTTTTGTGTGGTGTTCTCCGAAGCATCGTAATGTATAAACGGGTGAAATCTGTTCTCGTTTTGTAGAAGAATGGTGGGGGCAGGGGCGAAACCGATCAACACCAAGAGTTTCCGCGCGTACTCGAACCCAGTGATCTCTAGTCAGCTTGCACGGGATTCCCATTGGAAACCAGCGAGTAAAGGGAAGGAATTAGCTGGTGAGATCACAACAACCACACGCACAAGGCCCAACAACAAGCTCCTCACCCAAGGCAGACTTCTATAAGCCATCAGCCAAGGACTTCTTTCAATACTTTCTCAGTGTGCGACTTGATAGACTACGTCATGGGAAACCAGACGGTCAATTGGTGCGTGCAATCGAGATAGCAGACCACACATATCACTTGTGTGGAGTCTCGGCATTTTGAGTCGTTGGGTAGCCCAGGTGTACGAAAGCTGCCAGTTACTTCTAAGGAGAGGGTGATGCAGAAACTACTTAAGAGGATGTCGATAAACTTAATAACTGCACTGTGACCGTGCCATGCTATTTAAGCTGTGCTTAGATCTATGCACCGGTAAAACCTAGAAGGCCTGAGGTCTGGCACATCTGGAGGGGTGCGTCGGTTTCATTATTTTAATTAAACAGGCGTCGAGGTGGCCTGTTTGATTTACATCTAGGTGTAAACAACACGATCATGGCCAGCCTCAGACAGCATAACAAACAGCACCGTTTCGACGTGGCGAGTTGGCTCTTACTGACGGTCTGCAGATCAAACCAGTCGTACCGGCTGTTTCGGATTGCATTCTCATCATTTGTGTGATACCTTCTCAGTTCATCTTGGCTCCCACTAGGGTGTGAAAGACTTGTGCATGCTGGTTGCACCGACCATCATCAAACTGTGTTCCCCAAAGATTAATGCAAATTGCTAAGAGTGTCTCGCAACGGTCACGTCTAAGCTAACCATCCAATGTGGCGAGAATAGATCCTCAGTCGCCGTCAGTAAACGGAGTCGCTGGGTTCTAAGAAAATTGTCTGTTTAATGCTCACACATGGGGATCGGCCGTTTCTCATATCGCAAAGGCCGATTTGGTAATGGAAATGGATCCTTGCGCAGTTCATTTTGTGGCGGAAAGTAGATTCACAGTCACTTGGGATCAGTATGCCAAATCGGAAGTTACAATGTGTGATGGTAGTTCGGTGGGGGGTGGGTTCCTTCAGGAACAGGCTGGTCGTGGACCTCTGATGCGAACTGGTTAGGGACAATGACGGTCAGTGGAAAGAAGGGCGCAGGTCACCGCCGGTGGCTGATGCAACCCATGGGATCGGGCAATTACGTCGAAATGTTTGTTGCATACATGAAGTCAACCTTTAGCTGTTTACTAAAGTTGGCACTGTCCTGAGAGGTACGCGCCTATAAATGATGATACAGACACTCTAATCCCAATGAATTGGTGTTTGAAAACCCTATATTTCACAGCGAAACAAGGTATCAAATATATACGAAACTAAAAATAATGGGGATTAGAGGACAGACCAGGCAAGTTTGCATGGTCCGATCCTTTATTTCCAGTTCAGGCTAGTTGACTGTCACTATAGATCGATCGTCTAATGCGCATTCGAGTCCACCGCGTGTCTACTCAATTAATTCAGCGCATGGTACATTAAGAAGGCACCAAGCATCATCAGTAAGACAGCTGCTAGTGCCAGGGGGGTGTACACTCTTCATCCCATGAGACAAACGGTCCATTTCTCTCCGAACCCAAGAAGGAGTAACTTGGTTGGGAAATCAATGAGAAAACTGATGATAACATCCGCTCTACGGGACGCCATGGTCGATCAATGTGATGTCACCACACCAAGAGTACTCTTACCCCGACAAGTGACTACGTCTTGGAGTACGAAAAATACGAAATCAAAAACGATGTATTTGATGACCGCAAATTGGAACTGCCAATGCAACCCGGGAATATTGTCAGAGGTTACAACATAAACACCGTTTGTATGACAAGGACAATGCAAAATGGAAGTGTAAACAAACTGTGCCTAAGGGCATGAAAGACATGAGAGTAAGCACAATGTGGCTCAATCGGCTACTGCAAAATTGCGTAAGGCATGTGCACACACGTGCGCACACACACACACACACACACACACACACAAATGTGAATTGACCAGATCCCTGAGTAGATGTTGATAAAACGCACGCACCTCAGTGGATACACGGCGAGGAGACTCGTGCATGTGTGGAGCCAACTGGTAGGAATGCGCTGTGCTCGCTAGGAACGAGGGAATGAGTGCGACTCTTTTTGGGTGAATAGTAGAACACAGTTGGCCTCGAGACAGGGACCCTGAAAAGAAATGAAGATGACTCAAAATTAGCCGGTGACTCATAGTGAAAACTGCCCAGAGAAACATCCTCGAGTGATAAGTGGTGCTCCGAACAAGTAAATGTGCGGAAGCGGCACTCAGTCCGGATCGAGATCGCCAGTTACAGAAAAACATGTGAGTAGTTCGAAAGAGTAACATCCGAACTAAGAGCCCACTAACACCTGAAACGATCCGTCCGGCTGCAACAACAGGACGCAAGTGCACCAAGCAAAAGTGAACAGTTAACATATCACACCGATCTACAGTCCCAAACTAGTGTCCATGGTGAAACGGAAAGTCCGTTGAGCATAACAGGATACAGTTTCAAATGGCTCATCCCTTAATACACACAAAATAGTAGAACATCTATTCGGACAATCTGCGGGAGTGGTGACTTCAAACATAGACAGCAAAGCGCAGCAAAAGATACTTGACAGCACGAGTCTGAACCCAAAGTGGTATACTGAGAACAAATACAAAAATTAGCAATTTAGACACAAACGGGGAGGATTAAGTAGATGAATGAACATCCCTGAGCATGCCACTATGAACTCGTGAAAAACAGAGTAAATTATTGTCATTATCCTACTCACCGTTTGGAAGCAGCGGGTAGAACTACTTTTGAGTTTCGACTCTCCTTTCCAATACTAGGTTCCCACTGTTCAGTCTGGTGTTGCTCTGCTCCGTCCGGAGTGCCACGCTCAGGTTGATAAGCTGCGGTAGTTGCAGAGGGCAAATCGATAGCTGTGGTGAAAATCGCAGACTCGGTTTTGTCTACAGGGGCTTCAGGGCGAATGAGCCAGCTGGATTCGTGCAGAGAAGGCAAGTGTTCCACTATCTTGGGTGGAGGAGATGAGACAAGCGAGGCAGGTGAGTCGGAGTCCGATTCGTCCGCGATCCTAGTGCTTTCCCGAGTTAAAGAAGTAAACCTGTGGGAGCCACGTGTGGAGTTTCGGCAACCGACCAACCACTTTGGGTGTCGAGCTGAGAGGGAGAAAAGGGCGAATGACCGTGCACGGAGTTGCGTACTTCCTCGATGAGATCAGGGCAGCAACAACGGATATCACAGACTATCTAAAAAACTATGCGTTTCAAATGGTAAACGTTATAGAAACACGTTAAATGGGCTCAACATTCGTCAGTTAAAAACAACTGAAGCTCAAATGGTTCAGTCCAGTTTAGCTGACCGGCTGAAACCCGTAAACCGTTTTGTGGTGGATCCAGCAGCACAGAAGATTGTCACCAATGATGATCCTAATGATCGATACTCAATAGTAATGCACGAAATTAAAATCACCAAACACCAACAAAAGGCGGCGATCAACTTCGTGAAGGTGATAGCCGATGAAACGTCGAACTGCCACTGAGGTAGCCTATCTCGAGGCCGTGTAGCGCCCCAAAAGATAACCATTGTCTTTTGTGTATAATTGAGCTGAGGATCAGTTATACACTATTCTTCCATATTTTAATCCTTATATTACGTCCATGTTGACCTACATCCGGCTCGACACTTGACCGTCTTGTAAGTTCCTGCGCGCATGTGTTGATCTTGTCTTGCTTCATCCGTCCCCGTCTTCTTGTAGCCTATTGAATACAGTCCGCTGTGTCCGACTCCAATTACCTTCTGATATCTGCGCATAATTTCGCACACCGTCTCGAACTAGTATTCACTAGTCCTTCAAATTGGTGATCCCGAATGGCACGCTAGAATTTAAATTTTCTTCGTCGTTTGTATTTTTTAGTTACTTCGTTCCTTTCGCTCGATTATAAAGGTGTATTCATTGGTTTCTTACGTACTTTTAGTAGTTTCATCGTGTTTTTGTTCATGTTTGAGCTTTTCAATTCACATTTCGAAAGTGGCATCTGTGTCGTTCCGCAGCGTAACCATGTGTGCTTTGGCTGTTCCAAGTTTCATGGAACACAGCCCAGAGGTTCGGTTTGCGATATCCGAAATCGAACTGGAGAATAAGAGCATTAAGGCGGACAGTTCGAGGTACAATCAGCTTGTCCCCCGCCTTCCTTCGTCGGTTGTAACGATGGTGGTGATGCCTCCGGGCCGCTTGAGAGCTACTCCTACCAGGTTGGTCAATGGTGAGAGGTCAGAAAAACTCAGTCTCCCGGTCCTCCAATTTGGGAGTTTAAAATTGGATGGCGTCCATTTCTGTAATACTAAATCATTACCACTTCCCTGCTGCCTTGCGGACAGGCTTTTGAACCAAAGGCTTTGGATGAGGACCCTAATCGTCCTCCTGTCTAGGTCTGGGCGCCCTGGCAGTATCTCAGCCCACATACAACCATGACATTTTCTTCAAACATAAACTTCATCCTGCATCGGCTATCGCGCAGATTATCAAGGGTCGCCTTATCTGCTGCATACAGCTGGGCGGATAAGCGAAAACATGCTACTGCTGGCGCCTCCCTTCTTTCTTTTCCACCTTTTTCTCTTACTCCCATCCCGACCCCCATTACTAACCTTCCTTCTGTAATTCCCAGCTTAATTGACAGCAACCGAAGTGCCACTGGAGTAGAACCATCTGCAGCCACCATCCCACCACACCTATCGGACGCCTATCGGCAAAAATCCCTTATAAGGCCACGGTATCCCGTTTCCATGGCGGCGTTCAACGTTCGCACTCTAAGACAAACAGGTCAACAGGCCGCACTCGCACACACCTTGGACACACTGGGTGTTGATGTGTGTTGTGTGTCCGAAACTAGGATCAATGACCCTAACGGGGTTATTGAATTAACTGCACCCGGCTTATTCTCTCGTTATTGGTTGCACGCATCCGGAGACGCCGATGCAGCACTCACGGCTCAAGCTGGTGTAGGTATCATTCTAAGCTCTAAGGCTGAGCTATCGTTTGTTGATTGGATTCCGGTGAATAGCCGTTTATGTGCAGCCCGTTTGACGACATAAGGTTGATTCACGAAGTAGTACAAAACGCTGTTTGTTCGTGATTTCCGCTTATGCTCCCACCGATTGCAGTTCAAATGCTGCCAAGGACACTTTCTATCAAGAACTGAATGCGCTACTACATAGTGCTACTAGTTCAGATACTATAGTACTTGCAGGGGATATGAACGCACAAGTAGGGCGTCTGGGCTATTCAGAAGCTCAGCTGGGTGGTAATTGTGGACTTAACTCCGAACGGACTGACAAAGGTGAGCGTCTGCTGCAACTGTGTGCGGAGCACCAGTTGTTTCTTACTAGCACTGCTTTTAGACACAGTGGGCGCCGAAGTGCCACTTGGCGTCCTCCTGTAGCTGACCAACGATGGACCCAAATTGACCACATTGCCATAAGTTACAGATGGCGTGCTTCCATCTTGGATTGCCGCTCGTGCTACAGTACCTGTGTCGACTACGATCATGCCTTGGTGCGCTGTCGTTTCTCCATGAACTTTACCGGGAGGCGCACCAAGCGTCCCCTACGATTGGCAACTGAGAAATTGTCTCAGCCATCGGTCAGGCAAGCCTATCAAGAAGCCCTGCATACCGAACTCTCGCTGTCTTGTCCTAACGACGCTAAGTTTCAGTGGAATAGGATCTCGGCCGTCATGCACGACGCAGGGGCATCTGCCTGTGGCATTATCAATCGTCACCGCACCAGTCACTGGATATCCGAGAGGTCGGTGAACCTGTTGGAATCTAGAAGACACCTCCCGACTGGCTCTGAACATAATGTGACCAGACGAGCCATTAGGCGTGAACTAAAGCAGAGTCTGCGTGCTGACAAGGAAGCCTGGTGGACCAGTAGGGCTCAAGAAATGGAGGAGGCAGGAGCAGTAGGCAATTACCGCAAGCTCTTCCAGCTTATCCGCACCACTGGTCCCAGAAAAACAGGCGTCAGTGAGACAATCGGAGACAGCGCTGATACACAATAAGGAGCGCCGTATGGCTCGTTGGGCGGAACACTTTCAAGATCAGTTCAGCCGGCCCCCTGCTCCCGGACCTATTCCTACTCAGGTGATGCAGGACGAGCCATGGACGGTTAGTTTAGAGCCACCGTCGGAGGTCGAGGTCCGAAACGCGATTATAGCTCTCAATCGTTGTCGTGCGGCTGGCCCGGATTCCCTCCCACCTGCACTATTTAAGGATGGAGGTGAGGTCCTCCGAAAAGCACTGACCTCCCTATTCGAATGTATCTGGAACGAAGTGAGTGTCCCGGCTAATTGGAGCAGTCGCACAGACTACTAACCACAGGGGTATTAGCCTAACGCCAGTTGTGACAAAATTGTTGGCCTCGCTTATCGTTCGTCGCCCCACTGCGGAAGGGGAATCTCGGATTAGGGAAGAACAGGCTGGTTTCCGTCAAGGACGTGGCTGTATAGACCATATATTCACTTTGCGGCAGGTGCTAGAGCAGCGCCACGCATACCGCACACCAACAATAGCTGTGTTCCTCGATTTCAAGGGTGCGTTCTTTCCAGTCGATCGATCGATTCCGTTCGAAATACTTGCACGAAAAGGTGTTCCCACGAAATATGTGAACATCCTTCGTGCTCTATACTCGAACACTACAGGCCGCGCCAGGGTCTACGGTGTCCTATCGGATAGCTTTTCGACCACAAGTGACGTTCGTCAGGGTTGCCCGATTTCCCCGTTTTTGTTCAATTTCGTCGTGGATTCTATCATGGAGTGTTCCCTTGCGGAATCTCACGATGTAGGCGTTGAAGTGCTGCCTGGTGAAAGGTTAGTTGATCTAGATTATGCCGACGATATCGTCTTGCTTTTCAAAGATGTTGGGGCGGTACAATCAACCCTGAATAGCCTGTCCAGAGTGGTCCCATTATTGGGTATGCACTTCGCACCTTCAAAGTGCTAAGTGTTGTTGCAGGACCACCAGCCACTTGAGGACCCCTTGACGCTTGCTAACGAGGAACTCGAGGTGGTTGATCAATTCACTTATCTTGGCAACTGCATCAGCAAAGATGGGCGCATAAAAACTGACCTCAGCTCACGCATTGCAAAGGCCAGAGCTGCCTTTTTGAATCTGCGGCATCTGTGGCGACAGAAAGGATTTTCGCTACCTCTGATAGACCGTGTATACAAGGCCACAGTTAGGGCCGTTCTGCTCTATGGCAGTGAGACTTGGCCCCTTCTGTCTGAAGATCTGAGGCGTCTTCAAGTCTTTGATCATCGTTGTCTGCGAAGCATTGCTGGTGTCGGATGGCACCAGCGTGTCCTGCATAGATGGTGTTCGTAGACGAGTACTAGGTGGTGATAATCATGCTAGCTCCCTAGAACAACCGATAGCACTGAATAAGTTGCGTTGGCTCGGGCACGTGCTATGTATGCCTGGTCACCGCTTACCTAGGAGGGCCTTGTTTAGTCTGCCAGGTGTAGGGTGGCGCAAAGCTTGAGGTGGACAGAAGTTGACTTGGCAGCGTGAAGTGAAGTCCCTGACGACCAAACTGGGTGCCGTTGGTCCGTCTCGCCTTCCGGGTTGGAGTCCACGTGACTCACCTTGTGCTTGGCTCGAGACTTTACAGGACATAGCTCGCAGCAGACACCAGAGGCGCGTCTGCTGCCGTCTCCTAATCGGATTGCCTGTTTAAAGTGTGTTTGGTGCTGAGTTATCTGCGGGGTAATGGCTGATTATGACGCGTGGCAGTGAAAGCCGCAAGGAAGCTGTCTCGCCGATGCCGCCTTATCTTTGCACGATAGCCAGCTGTTTGTGACGGTATGTTGTCTACACAAGGTGTAGGCGCCTTGACCCAGAATGTTTGCTTAGGGCATTAAGGTTTGCAGGTAAGTCCCCCTTCTCTCTCTCTCTTCGTATTCTTTATTTCATAGGTCCTCATGGTTGTATGGCAACGAAGCATCAGTTCAAATGGCTGATGTACTGCTGTGGATGATGATGTGTATACGAGTTCCATTTGAACAGCTCAATGGTCTCAAGCTGGGAGATCGCAAGCCGTCGACGTTGCTACGCGAAATGCAGCGCATCACTGGTCCCTTATTCTTGTGCGAAGAAAGGA